ACATATCGCGGGGGGGTTCGCGGAATCCGACTGCGATATCCTTTTGTGGACTCTCCCATAGGACCCCCTGAAAAATATCGCGGCAAAGCAACCTAACAGCGATGTGTACAAGCATGTCTGGAAGTATTCCCCTTAATATTCAGGTGATAATCCAGTTGTAGAATTCTGCTGTTCTCGCACGCAGTCGCATTCGCAATGACAGTCACAGTGGCGACGGCCTTAGGATCCAATGGAATCCTAAGGATTCCTGAGGATTCCTACGGCGTCCTTAGGCATCCTTAGGAATCCATAGGAATCCTGAGGAAACCTTAGGACTCCTTAGGAATCCTGATTCCTAGGGATTCCTAGGGATTCCTAAGGATTCGTAGGGCATCCTAAGGATTCCTAAGGATTCCTGAGGATGCTTACCTATGCTTACGGATTCCTAAGGATGCCTACGGATTCCTACGGATTCCTACGGATTCTTAAGGATTCCTATGGATTCCTACGGATGCATCAGCCTGCCTCAGTTTCAGCCTCAGCCTCAGCCTGCTTCGGCTTGCCTCAGCCTCAGCCTCAGCCTGCATCGGCCTCAGCCTCAGCCTGCCTCAGCCTCAGCCTCAGCCTGCCTCGGCCTCAGCCTGCGTCAGCCTCAGCCTCAGTCTCAGTCTCAGCCTCAGCCTGCCTCAGCCTCAGCCTCAGCCTCAGCCTCAGCCTGCCTCGGCTTGCCTCAGCCTCAGCCTGCCTCGGCCTCAGCCTGCCTCGGACTCAGCCTGCCTCAACCTCGCCTCCTCCCCCCCCCTCCCCCCCCATTGAGCTTCACCTTGTCTCAGCTTCGGCCTGCCTCGGCTTCATCCTCAGCCTCAGCCTCAGTCTCAGCCTCAGCCTGCCTTAGCATCAGCCTCAGCGTCAGCCGCAGCCTGCCTCGGCTTGCCTCGGCCTCAGCCTCAGCCTGCCTCGGCCTCAGCCTCAGCCTCAGCCTGCCTCAGCCTCAGCCTCATCTCCAGCCTCAGCCTGCCTCAGCCTCAGCCTGCATCAGCCTCAGCTTCAGTCTCAGCCTCAGCCGCAGCTTGCCTCAGCCTCAACCTCAGCCTCAGCCTGCCTCAGCTTCAGCCTCAGCCTCAGCCTGGCTCGGCTTGCCTCAGCCTCAGCCTCAGCCTGACGCGGCCTGAGCCTCAGCCTCAGCCTGCCTCAGCCTCAGCCTCAGCCTGCCTCAGCCTCAGCCTCAGCCTGCCTCGGCCTCAGCCTGCGTCATCCTCAGCCTCCGCCTGCTTCAGCCTCAGACTGCCTTAGCTTCAGCCTCAGCCTGCCTCGGCGTGCTTCAGCCTCAGCCTCAGCCTGCCTCGGCGTGCCTAAGCGTCAGCCTCAGCCTGCCTCGGCCTCAGCCTGCCTCGGCCTCAGCCTGCCTCAGCTCGGGCATTCAAAATATGGCACAGGTTTGGTGTTGTGGGAACACGAAGATCACGAAGTGGCTCACAGTTGGCTCCGGGCAATCAAAATATGGTACAGGAGTGGTGTTCTGGGAACACGAAGAACACGAAGTGGCTTACTGTTGGTTCTGGGCATTCAAAATGTGGCCTGGGAGTGGTGCTCTGGGAACACGAAGAGCACGAAGTGGCCTACAGTTGGCTCCGGGCATTCAAAATGTGGCCTGGGCATGGTGTTCTGGGAACACGAAGAACACGAAGTGGCCTACAGGTGGCTCCAGGCATTCAAAATTTGGCTTGGGAGTGGTGTTTTGGGAACACGAAGATCACGAAGTGGCCTACAGTTGGCTCCGGGCATTCAAAATGTGACCTGGGCGTGGTGTTCTGGGAACAGAATCTGTAGGAATCAATAGAAAATTATAGGAATCTATAAGAGTCCTGGGGAGTACCCGGATTCCCGCGGCAGTCCCCGGGTTCCCGCGGCACCCGTCCGGCACCCGCCCAGACCCCCTTGGGGAGTCATGATGCTGTCTTTTGAGACCATTAGAAACCTATCAGTCTTCGCTGTTAGGTAGCAAGTGCCCTAGTGCGGTCGCAGTAGGGTTTGCTTATGTCCTCGCGAGCCCGCGTTCTCCAGATTCCTTAGATTCCTTCGTGGTTCGTTTGAGCTGCCGCTGAGATGCCTTTGCGATTTCTGTGGGTTCCTTTGAGATTATTTTGAATTCCCAATAGGGTTCCTTTGAGATTCTGCGTGGGCTTCCTTATGATATTCCTTTGGGATTCCTTTGGGGGGTCCTTTCAAGTTCCTGTGACATTCCTTCGATTGGGCTCCTCGCGGATTCCTGCGACGTCCTATGGTTCCGTGCAGTTTTCTATGACCTTGCCCTGCGTTTTCCTATGCGTGCCTTGCCATTGGGCGCTGGGGAACGCGGCGGCTTGCATGTCGCCACCTTCAGGTGCCGATGTGGCTGAAGCATCATTTTTTTTTTTTTTTTTTTTTTTTTTTTTTTTTTTTTGTTATTTTTTATTTTTTTTTATGTTTTTTTTTGTGTTTGTTTGTTTTATATATGTATATACATAAGAAAAAAGAATGATATAATACACATTTTTTTCTATCACAAAAAATTGGACAAACAAATTTGTTATATGTTAACGATATCGCCGGAGGGCGCCGCCCAAAATAAATATTTATCTTACTTTCTGTGCTAACGATATCGCCGGGGGGTTTACTGTTTGCCTCCCGGGTTTACTAGTAGTAGTAGTAGTAGTAGTACTTCTACTACTACTACTACTATTACTACTACTACTACTACTACTGCTACTACTACTACTGCTACGACGAAGACGACGACGACGACGACGACGACGACGACGACGACGACGACGACGACGACGACGACGACGACTATTACTACTACTACTACTGCTACTACTACTACTACTATTTCCACCACTACTACTACTACTACTACTACTACTACTACTACTACTACTACTACTATTACCACTACTACTACTACTACTGCTACTACTACTACTACTACTACTACTACTACTACCAGTTGTAGTCCCTGCCCCGACGATGCCCGTAATCGCTTTGTGGACAAGGAGCTGGAGTTTCAGTCTTTCGCCATGGTGATGTAATCCGTGCTGCGGAATGTTTTGGCCATATGCTGTTTCGAACCGTCCATAAATGTCGTTTTGATGCTGCAGTTTATGTAGCAATATTGATGATGTCTCTTGTTTTTCTTATATATATCATTCCATTCTCTCGGTGCTTTTGTTTTCTTTACACCTGCGTCGCTGGTTTCGTGAGGGCTACAGATTCGCGTGGTTGTGCCTGCTTGTGGGCCTGTCTATGACGAGTGCATTTCTGGTGAGTTTTTTTGTTTGCGATTCGAACTGTGTTCGCCTCGGTGTCCCGGTGTTTCATTCCATGCTTTAGCTTTAGCTCGTCTTCTTGACTTACCAGGGTCGTTTCGACTGCGGGCCCGTTGAGTAGCCTTTTTTTTCCAGCCTTTGTTTTTATAGTATTATGCCCTTGGTTTCTTGCGTGTAGGCAGTTTGTTACCAACTTGTCCAGTTACCGCTCAGCCCACTGCAGTCTTCAACAGCGTTGGCTGCAGTGTGTGTGTGTAGATGTACATGTATATGCAGACTTGTGACTTGTATACATGTGTAGGTCTATGTATGTCTGTCTGTCTGTCTGTCTGTCTGTATGTATGTATGTATGTATGTATACAAATATATATATGTATATGTATATGTCAGGTACATGTGAGTGTATGTCTGTATGCGTGTGTGTATTTTTCCACATCTATAAGCGCACCATGAACAATTTGTGTCGGAAGTGGGGGCGCAGGTTGGATTTAGGATGCAGGTAACGGGGGAGACACTGGAATTGACAGGGAATGGGATTTCGAGATCAGCAGTAACGCTAGTTTCGAACGCATGGCACATCAAACGCGATGGAGGGAATGGGTGTTGTGAGGAAGAGTCACGAGAGAACAATGAGGAGCGCGAGGATTCACTTTTGCGGGCGGAGGCACACGGCTTGGAACAGGTTGAGTTCAAGACGTGTTCCAGTTGAGTGAGTTGTTTGAGCTGGCACGGTTATTGATTTTTTTTCCGCATTGTTCTGTTAATCTTTCTGGTGGTCGTTGTGAGCCTCCCGGAGTTTTTTTGCGCTTTCTTGGGGGCCTTTCGGGGGCGTGGTAAAGGCCCGTCGAGGACCCGTCGGAGGTCTCCTGGCCGTCTTAGACACGATGGTTCCGCAACGTTGTCCCGACGAGTATCTTCTGAAGCATCTTCGGGACGTTCGGGCAGGTCTTGAGGCTGTCGTTGATCCTGATCGAGTCGGTGTAGGAGGTTTTCTGGTAGTTTTTGTGCTGTCGTAGGCACTCTTTTGGGCCGTCTCGGGGGCCTGTTGGGGGCTTTCTGAAGCCCCGTAAAGTTCACCCGAGGCGATCTCAACCTGACCAGCCTCGCAGGCAACAGATTTTGTAGTTTTCCAGCTTTTCATATTTTTCTTCTTTTTGGGACCCTTCCGGGGCTTGTTTTGGTGTCCATTGGAGATTTCTTAAGGTCTCTTGGGGTGCTTGTGAACAGGACTTGGGGCGAATGGGGATTCGTCTGGCTGTCTTTGGATTGTTTGCGGGTGTGCTCTAGCCATTGTGGGACTGCCTTTGGCTGTTTTGCAGCCGTCTGGAAGCCGGAAGTGTTGCCACTTAGAGGGGACAATTGGCATGAGAAAAGATTGAAGTCATTTTATTAGGCAGGCAACAAGTGTTCAACACACCCCATTCTGCCGAAGGCACAGTGGTGGATCGCTTCTGTGAAGTGCTTTTGTTGTTGTGTTGTGATATTTGTTTTTGCGCTCGTGTTCGCGCTGCCCGGTATGGTGTTGGTTTGCTTGCAGAGCTGTGGTTGTCGTGAAGCGTTTGGGGCATATATCATCAAGCAGGTATAATATGCTTATTTCTTGGTGCTGCGTTCACAGGAATATGTTTTTGGCGAGCGTCTAGGAACACATCGGAGATCAGACACGTGAGTAGATGGAGCGTGTTTGTGTGTCAGAGTTTTGGCGTGCGACAGGACGAAGAGCTCTTCGAGTACAACTGCACCGCCGAGCTCGACAACTGGGAGGCCTTTGCGAGTTGTGGAGTAATGCTTTTTTCTCAAGCATGGTTATACATTACACGATGGTGAAGTAAGAAGAGAAACATGCATGCTAACGCAATCACGTGTAGTCTATTTTCACGTTGATGGAACGGGGCACGCCGACTGCAATCTGAAATTTGATTGTCCTTCATGCTTGTTTTCAGTTTGTACCATGGGCAGTGAGGGATCTGGTAGTTTCAGCGCTCATTGCTCGATTTCCAGGATGTTTTTTTTCACTCTTGGGGAAATAGGTCGACTTCCATAGCATGTGGTCTTTTATGTGCAGATGTTCTAGTGCGAGGTTTTAGCGTGGATTGACCGTAGCGTTGCCTGGTGGTTACACTGAATCGGGGGGCTTCGTGGGGCCCCTGCACTTTCTTTCTCAGCGATATGTGCTCACTCGAACTATCGGCGCCAATGATGTGACTGAATGAATGCATGAACATCTTGACGGGTCTCAATTTTTCGAAGTCTGAAGTCTCACAGTGCCTTGCTGGATTGTTCTTTGGAGGCGTGTCTCAGGTTTTTTTGGGCCTGAGGCATCCTGAGGACATCTAGGGGCCTAGGGGACATCATTTCGGGTCTTAGACCATTTTGTATTTTGCAGTCCTCTTTTGGCTATCTTCGGCTCTAGGGTTGTACAGAGCGCTGGAGTTCAAAGATGATTGTGGGGAATGGAGTGGGTGGTGACACGGCAAATTTTCGGACACGACGAGTCCGATGCGTTCTACGTGTTTATACAAGGCCCCAGTGTGCTATTTGCACAGTCGTGGGTCTCGCAGGCCGTCATGATAATAATTGTATTCGATTGCTTGAGTCTGATGGTCCTTCTGTTTCGATGTGCGTTGTCTCCTTGGCCAATGATTCATGGACAGCACGGTTCATGGGGCGTATAGTCGAATCAAATTGCGTGCCTTCAGTTTATATGCTTTAGTTTCGTTCAGTCTATTGCCGTTCGGAGGTTGGCTGGTCCACGCCGAAGAAGGCCAGCCCTTGAGCAGGGTGATGGCTACTTAGTCGACGTGCAAGTTTGTGAGTTGTTATTGGACGCGGTGCAAGCAGAAACATTGTGCATGTGATACTTCTTCATCATGTTTCAAGCTGGCCGAGAGGGAGCAACTAACCATGCCACATATGTTTTTTTCCTTGTTGTTTTGTTGTCATTCGTTCGAATCTCATGTCCCCGAAGCACTCGTGGACGGCTTACTGCTTGTAGCTATTGGTGCATAGTTTCTAGTCGTGTGCACGTGTGCACATCGATCGGATTCTCTTGAGCACATTGTGAGAACCGGGCTGGGCTTGTTGGGGCAGAGGTTGTGGGTATGGTAAGTATCATGTAGTCTTATGAGGGGAAGCTTGTTCCCCACAACGTGGCTTGAACTTTGAGTGTGTTTTTAGATAGCTCCTGGCAGGAGAGTGATCCCGCAAAGGCCAGGAGATTGATGGCGACGGCGACGGTGATTCCGACGATGATGACGATGACTACGACGATGATGATGATGATGATGATGATGAGGCTTATTGTGGTGAACATAGTGAGGTCTGCTTGGGCTACCTATGAAGTGTCTACTGGTCCGTTGAATTACGCGCACCGCCATGATGACCGCTGCTTGTAAGATGACAGTGCGCATCCTGGATAAGTGTATCTGCTATACGCCATCTCCCATGGGATAACGGGTCACGCACCATATGGTGGTTCGGCTACACAGTAAGGTTGATGTACTCGCCATCTTCTCGTGATGATGGTCGCGGTCACGGTGGTGATATTGTCAGCCACGGTTTCTTCGTTTGCTCTCTGGGCGTGGACGCGCTGGTCTCCCACGTCAGGCCTGGTGCTGCGAGCAGAGGCAGGTCGGCTGCCCCGTCGAGGCCAGCGAGGCACGGCTGGAGGACCACATCCTTGCGGGTCTATCTCTGAGCTACGTTGTGCTGGCATGCGCTGACGCTCCGAGATATGCGGGATGCATTCCCGACCATCCCTTCGTCTGATTCTCGTTCTCCCCTTTCTTCGAGCTGCCCTCTCCTATCCTCTCGGAGCTGCCTGTTTGCGCCCTCGTTCGCCATGCTTGGGTGCTGCTGGGCCGGAGGCCTTCTCCGACTCCTAAGCTCGTCGGACGTCCACCGGAGCACGGGCGTCCAAACGCGACCTCGCCTCCCAGGGCTCAGGGGCCACCACCCAGGGGCCACCCAAGGTCCGCAAGGAGCCACCACCCAGCCACCACCCACGGGCCACGAGGGGCCAACGCCCAGGGGCCACGGGGGCCACGAGCGTTCCCCCCCGCCTGCTCCTGCGGCTGCTCTTCCTCCTCCTTTGGTGTGGGGGTGCGGCGGCCAGTGGTCGGCTGCCAGCAGGACGGGTCGCGCTGCCCGCGAATGCTGAGCTGGCTGCGCTACATCTGGGGTCCTCCTTCGGCACACGCCCTCCTGCATCCCCCCCCCCCCCGCAGAGCGTAAGGCAGGAGGGGGCGGCTCCGCCAGGAGAAGTACGATCGGCTGGCGGCGGTGCCAGCGTGGTGGGAGCGCGGGCGCCGCGAGGGGTGTGGGGGGCTTGCGGAGAGGGGAGAGCCGAACAACAAACAAGTTGCGTAAGCATCAGCTTTTGGAGGTCCGCGCGGACCTCCCACAGTTTATGATTCTGCAGTGCTTCGTTGTCGAGGTCGGCGGCGAGCGAGGAGGGGACATGAGAAGGAAAAGGCCTTCTTAGAAGGCAGCGGGACTTCTCAGAAGCCCTCGCGCCTTCTGAGAAGCTGTTTGTGCCTTCGGGGAAGGCTTCGGAAACTTCTCAAAAGGCCAGGGAAATTCCGTGCCCTCTGAGCAGGCCCGCCCATGCCTTCTGAGAAGGCCCGCCTCTTCTCACTTCCCCCCCTCGCTCGCCGCCGAAGAGCCCTCGCCTGGCCCAGGATTGGCCTGGCCAGGGTCGGTGCGGGTGGATCGCCGCCGTGCCCGGACTCGGGGGGGGGGGGAGGCGAGGGAAGGCGAGAGGGCGCGAGGGGAGGGGAGAGGCTTTCTGGCCAGAATTTCGAGGCGGACCCAGCCGTGGCCACGAGGGCGTCTCCACGGGAGGAGGCGGGGGAGGCACGACCAGACCGAAAACGAGTGCGCAGAGCAGCAGCAACGACGGGCAAAGAGCAGGAAGCAGGACGAGCGCACGCAACACGACGGTGAGGAAACCAACCCAGAGTCAGACGAGAGACGTGGGCAGGAGTCCCCCCGCCACTCCACCGTGACGGGGTCCTTGCCCACTTTGAGGGACCTAAGGCAGGTGGCATCCTATCGGATGCAATGCCTCCGCAGTGGCCCCGGAGCCTCGACCGAGAGGCCGACGGCTGGGCCCGAGCGCCGCAGCGCAGGCAGAATGCACGGGTGGCCCCAGCAATGCAGGCCTGATGCCCTCGTGAGCTACTAGGCCCAACAGGGCCTTGAGCGGGGAGGGGGACGTCGAGGAGGACAGCATCACGCGAGGCCCAGGACAGACCCCGCCGCGGACCCCCAGAGGCCCGAGCCCTCATGCAGGTCGGCGGCGGGCGTGGCCAGGGGCCGAGGGGCCTTCGGGCGCGGCCCGCCCGAGGACCAGTTGCCGATAACGTCCCCCCGCCGACCTGGTGCGCGCACCAAGGGCAGGGGGGGGGGGGGCACGGACTCCTCGGAGCCTCGGGGGCGGGCGGCCTTGGCCAGCCGTCCCGCCTTCTCGAGGTCCTCGTCCCAGTGCTCCTCCTCCGTCCTGAACCCCACCCGCTCAAAAGCCAGGGACCGCTCAAGGCCCTCGGCAGCCAGAGGCGGCGGCTACCTGTCGTCGGCGGCGGCCCCATCAGGGACGGCCGCCGCACTGGCCTCGGAGGGGCCCTCGGCTCCCGCAGACAGCTCCACAGCGCCCAATCCCACGGAACCCGACGCCACGCGGGAAGCCTCAAGCGAAATGCCTTCGAAGCCCCAGAGGACCGCCGCTTCGGCAACCCCACAAACACCCCGCTTGAGTCTCGAATCGCCTTCGGCGGAGACCGCGAAAGCCGAGCAACGATCGCAGGACGATTCTTGGCCCTCGCGACGCACCAGGTGCGGGAAGGTGAGGGCCTCACGGTCAGGCGGCCGCGCCCGCCCTGGGGTGCAGGCTCGAGCGGCCCCTGGCAGCTCAGTCCGCAGCTGCTCCCAACGTCGGCGCCGGGGGGCAGCGTGGCGCCTGGGCACATGGTCGCGGTCGGGCGGCACGGTGCAGTCGAAGACCATGCGGGAAGACGTGCCGACCCACGCGGCGACCTGGCGAACGTGCTGCAGGGCGTCGGCGTGCGCCGCCACAACGGCCAGATGGAGGTCGTGGATCCTGCGCCCGCTTTTGGCCGCCATGTCGGCCAGGTCGTTGCACCTCCTCTCCCAGGTGTCATCCTTGGAGTGGCCCTTGACGTACGTCACGCGGATAGGCACGTCCGCATCATCACCAATGTCCACCCCGCCATGATCGTCCACATAGTGGTAGATCCGCTGCCAGTGGTCCACATTCTCGCGCCTCGGGGAGCAGCGCCATCGCCGTCCACGCTGTAGACCCTCCAGTTTGTATGTAGTCGGTGAAGACCCGCAGCGGGACCACTCACCGTCAAGACCTGCAGCACCGCGTGCAGCCCAGCGCGCCCAGAGGTTTGGCGAAGCCCAGGGAGAGGCCCGAAGGCAATGCCCGAGTGCGTGCCGTCCCCCAGCACCACGAAACTCCATCCATCACGGTCGGCGACGTCCCAGTGCAGGAGCTTCTTGCAGGAGCCGTCGGTGAAAACTGAGCCCGTCACGCTGGGGCAGTTCTCGGCCCGGGCACCGAGATCGTAGCACTAAGCGCCGCTGTCACTGCGAGGGGAAAGGCTGGCAAGAAAGAGTTGGGACACAGCCCTCTCGAGTGCAGCAGATCACCCGGCACTGTGCGGCGCGCTGCTGCCAAAATGGCATCGCCCACCGCGTGCTCTCGCGCGCCGTGGTCGGGCGCAGGGTCCAACCGCGAGGCCGCCCTATTGGAGTTCCCCGATGGGGCGGCCTGCCGCTCCTGCTTCGCCGACGAGGTGATGCGCTTGACGACGTGCGAGGAGGCCCCAACAATGCCCTCGCCGTAGGTGGTGGCAGGGCCCGCTGCAGCGCGCGCGGCCTTCGTCAACTTGGTCCCCAGCGCGCTCAGACTCTGGAAGTGCCTGGAGCGCTTGGCCTTAACGGGCGAAGAACGGTATACATCAATCTTTTTCGCCGTCGGTGTCCCCGACGGCGAAAAAGTTTATTTCATACCGTTCTTCGCCCGTTAATGGCCGCCTTGCGCACCTGGCGGCGTGGGACCAGGCCCGTGGGCTTCTTCCCAGCGCCGACCTCCCGGCCCAGGACCTCGAGCCAGGCCTGCGGCCTGATGCCGAAACGCCGCAGCTTGGAGGCGACCGCCGACGCGACCTTGGCGTCGGATGCCGCGAGCGTGGCCTTTGTCTTGGCAACAGGCGACCCCAGGTCGATGAGCGTGTCGCGCATGAGCTGGATGGCCTCGCGCGCCCTCGGCGGGGGGAACTCACTCTTGGCCATCGCCTGCAACGTCAGATCATCTGCGAAGACGTCCAGCGGGAATGAAAAACCCGCGCCGGGATGCTGCTGGAGCAGCCAGGTCTCCAACGCGAGCGGATCCATGTCCGACAACATCAGGAGCTGGACCGAGGCCATGACAAACTTGCAGGCAGCGGGCGCCCCCTGCTGGACCACCACTGCATGCGACGCAGCGTGCAGCCGCGCCAGGCGACGCGGGGAGCGGCACATGGCCAGGGCAGCGGCAAGCAGCTACGCCGGCATATGCAGTCGAGGCACTTCTCGATGTCCCCGATCGCGGTGGCACCCCCGTCGTCGGACGCGAGCGGCGCCTCGGCACGTCGGAGGGCCCGCGCTGCCACGTCCAGGGTGGTCTTGCCCGTCGCCAGTGCGAAGTAAGGCCTGTCGTGCTCGAGTAGCTGCGCGTGAAACTGCTGCGGCCGCGCCTGAGACCTGACGCGGTAGGTGGCTTGCAGGAGCGCGATGGGTCGCCATCTTCCCTTAGGCTTGACCAGCAGCGCGATGTGGACGGCTGTCGTCTGCGTTGGCCACCTCTCCCAGTGCTCGACCAGCCACAAGATGTACACCAGGGGCGCCATGGTGTCGTCCGTTAGGAGACTGATGGTGCGGGGGGACAGCCGACCAGTTCCATGCCCAGCGTGCCGCTTGAAGGTCTTGGCCGCAGCCCTGACGGGGCCCATCCTCGGCACGGGCTGCGCGGCCTTGGGGGGCCGGCGAATATCGTCTACGATCCAGGCGGGGCAATCGAAGTCGCCCAGGTGCTTCGCGCCAAACCCGTCATCGCCAGCGCCGGCGTGCTCTTCAAATTTCCCTGCCCCCCAAATTGCTGCGCAATCTAGGGGCGACGATGATGCGAGCGCGGAGGAAGCGCGCATTGGGTCGAACATGGTGAGGTTTGACATGGAAGCTTTGAAGTGGTTGTGCAGTGCCGATTTTGATGCCATCGAGGAGGTCAGCGAAATTAGGGGGGCAGTGAGATTATGCGGCGAAAGGCCAGCGCGATGTGCAGTCACATTTTTCTCAAGACTATTTAGTAGTTTGGGTTATTGGTGGGGCGGCATGGACCTACCTAGATGCGCTGAGTATGGGGCCGCTTGGATTTTGATTGTAAGGCGATGCGAGCGAAGGCGAGGAATGTCATCGAGAGCACTGCAGTCTTGCTTTTAATCGTATGTCCAATGTGCAGCTTTCATCAGGCCACAGGTTTTGATCTCGAAGCGCCCAGGGCCGGAAGCTATGAGGGACATGGTAGATCATAGGGTCAAGCGCCTTGCGTTCGCGTTGGAATTGCGCGAGATTCAGAACCGGCGGGTGGTGCATTCTATGGGGGTAACCCTGCGGGAGCCTCAAGTTGGACCGCGTCGCCAGTGCAGAGAATGTTAGAGCGCGAAGGTGTGCGCGCGTATGATTGCGATCTGCGCTGCTATGACCTCAGGCAGGCAGTAAAAAGGAGAAGTTGCTTGCGAGGAAAACCGCGCGGTTCATGGCGACCAGCGCCTGCGACGGAAGGGCCCAGAGCGCGAGATGTCAAGGTCAGCGTCTACATGTCGACTTGAACGGGGGAGGCAGAACGAGGATATCAGAGGTACATCAAGGCCGATTTTGTCGAGTTGTGCTTGAGGGCCTATTTGACCAGATGGCGGCTGATGGCTGACTAATGCGTTCCTTCAGAACGTGTGATCCCGAGGTCAATTGGAGTGAACCAGACGGAGGAATGACAATTAATGAGATCGGGTACGAGCCGAATGGGCATGGGAAGTGGGCCTGCGTAAACAACCTCGACTAGAAAAGCTCGCAGCGCATCTCGTCTCGTGCTTCCAGGGGGCTCAGGGCCAGCGTGGAGTGCGTGCCTACGCAAGGCCACTCAGGACCCGGGCGCTGGCCAGGTGCTCGGACAGGGGGGTGGTGAGAGTAAAGGGAAGGAGCGGAGAGGGTAATTCAGAGGAGGATCGCGCAAAGTTCCCGCTGCATTCATCTACCGAGTTGCCTGGCCTCGCCAATGGATCTGTGGGGCGCGCCCGCGCCAGGGGTGGTTGAAAGTTCCAGGGGCGCTCGAGGCGTGCGGGGGTGTTGATGGGGTGCGGCCAGTTACTGGAGGTGACGCATGCATAATTCATCGTGAACGTGGACAAGTGCAGGCGTGGGATGGTGCTTCTGGGAGTGAGCTCGGTCCAAAACTTACGTTGCAGGCTCTGTAAGAGGAGGTGGGGCAATCTAGGGAACGCGAGATATACGAGAAATTGCAGGCAAGGATTCCTGGCAAGATCTCCGCTGGGGCGAGGTGGGTCGATGCAGACGAGGGGGGGGGGGGGGCGAGTCCAATTATGAGTTCCGATCCCGGCTCGCGGCTTAGCGGGGGCATCTTCGCGGCCGCGCTTCGTTTCGAAGCCCGAGAACTATTGTTCTGTATGGCTGTTGCCGGAGGGATGGGGCATGATTGTGGCGGGCGTGAGAAAGGGCTGCAGTCGGCGTTGACAGGCGGTGGGCGGGCTTTTTTTAAGCCAAGGCTAAGAACGACATCTTCATCATGCTGCCTGAGGGGGCTCGCGCAGCAGGCGCGCGGCGAGATATTGGAGCCGCGGCGCTCGGGATGCAGCTGCCAATCGGGGAGATTGATAAATTGCTTTTGTGCGTGATATTGGTTCTGACAATTGGAAAGAATCGCCATGTGAGTTTAAGCGCAAGACAAGGTGGACCATGCTAACAGTATATTGGCGATTTTATTTGTATTGGGTAGTGACATCGGTCGTGTTTGGTTTGTAGGAAAGGTTTGAAGGTAATTTTAATTGAGGATCAGAGGTGGGCTCGGACCAGGACAGCATGAGTTGAAGTCAAGCAGGATTCTCCACCGAATTGTGGAATGGGGCTGGGCTGGTTTATGGTATGAGGCGGACCGAAGGCTTGTTGGGTTTCATGGTTAGAGCATGAGGCCTGGAGCAGTGCAGAGCCAGGTGCGAGATGCCAGGTGGAAAGCAGCCTTGCGACGAAGATGAGGAGGGGCCCCTGCGAAGCCATGAAGTTATGAAGTGCCCATCTTTGGTGAATTGTGCTAATTTTCTTGTACGGGGCCATCTGGGCATGCAGTCTGCAGCTACGGAGCTTGCGCGCTCTATGCCAGCTCCGACCCGACGGGCATGGATCATCCCCGTGAAGCTGGGCAAGTATCTCAGGAATCACGACAGGTGTGGGTATCAATACTTGTACCGCGAGCACCCTCAGGAGTTATCGGTGTGGCCGACACTGGTTATGCCGGATGCAAGAGGACGCGTAAATCAACGAGTGGACGAACAGCTCTGTGGGGATTGAAGTGGATGCAGTCGTGGATGTCGGTTCAGGGTGTAGTGGCATTTTCATCAGTAGAAGCGGAGTATCACGGATAAGTGATGGGTGGATCAGTACCGCTAGGACTACAAGCAGCTTTCAATTATTTTCAGGTTGACTTCAGTATCGCGTTAAAGAGCGGTGCGAGTACGGCCATTGCTATAGCGGGCCGGCGGGGACTAGGTAAAGTCAGACACGTCGAAAGTTTTTCAAGTATGGATACAAGGGAAGATGCGACGAGGATATCAAAGTGATCAAAGGGGGAAGTCATGGGAGTCTCGCGTACATTTTAATGACACATGTTAGCGCGTACGATACTACCATGCACGTGCGAGGTACGAATCAACGCGTTGTTGGTGGCAGACACAAGCTGGCGCCCGCTACGAAGTGTCGGCTTCATCCGTCTCCAGGTTATCTTCGCGTGTCTCTTTGGCGGAGACTCGAGCTCAGGATCAGTTGAGACTTTGGTACTCTTCTCTACACACTGCAGAATATGTTAACCTTCTGTGCGTGATTTGGCACTTTGCGGCATGTAAAAATAGTCCATCGCGTGTGAGGATGTCCCTGTACGTTTATGCCCAAATATTCGTCGCCTTTTTGCCTGTGCCAGGTGCGCGCGTTTTCAGATTTCACCCTTAATTTCACTCGCAGGGATGGGGAGTGCTGGCTTAGCTACGCTGCCCACTTGTTCACTTGTGTGACATTCTTCTGTTGTACAGCCGCTCTTTTTGGTTATTTCCATCAGTCTCCACATTCGTCTTATCAGCCGAAGAGGGGTTGTTAACGTATCGCGTTCCGATTGAGTAAGCACGATTTTAAATGGATCCTGTTGAGAAAGTGGTTTCGTAGCTCCCGTGGTGCGTGCCAATCGTTGGTCGCAACCGTTTGGCTGAAGTGTTCTCTCTTTCCAGGGGCTCTGATTGTATCATATTTTCAAGACGAATAATGAGGAGGACGATGATGACGAAGATGAGGATGAGGAGGAGGAGTAGGAGGAGGGGGAGGAGGAAAAGGATGGGGAGGAGGAGGAGGAACAAAAATGATGAGGAGGGAATGGGGGAGGACGAGGAATCATAATCATCATAATAGTATTTTTTCCCAAAGATGCGAAACGAATCGTAGTATGAATACTAAAAAGTATCACACATGCAACAATAATCATACTAGTTGTCCGAATAATAATCGCAATCATCATATCAGTAGCACTTGTAATCGTAATTGCAGTATTCGTAACAATAGTAGTGCTACTCGTTATACACACCGAATAGTTATATTAGCATTACGAACCATAACAATATTCATACAACGTATCGTGCTAAACCAGCCAACTCAATGACAATTTGTAGCATGACAGTATTAGTACTAACAGTACTACCACTCATGTTAATTCAACCAATACTAACACGAATAATACGATTAATGGTAACACTACTACTCATGCCAATAGTATCAATACACATGATAATGATATTGCATTTCTAGTTACAATACTACAAACACCACTTACAGTGATAATGCTGGTAATGCTTTGAATCATATTTGTATTTCCAGTGAGAGTAATAATCGCAATGCTAGCCGTATTGTTTCCATAATAAGCATAAACTAATGGTAACATTCTAAGGACATGTCATCTATGGAGAATATAAAGAATAGGAGAAGGAAGAGGAGGAGGATGAGGAGGAGGACGAGGAGGAATAGGGGGAGGAAGAGGAGGAGGAGGAGGAGGAGGAGGAGGACGAGGACGAGGAGGAGGAGGAGGAGGCGGATGAAGAGGAGGAGGAGGAGGAGGAGGAGGAGGAGGAGGAGGAGGAGGAGGAGGAAAAGGAGGAGGACGAGGACGAGGACGAGGAGGAGGAGGAGGATGAGGGAGAGGAGGAGGATGATGAGGAGGAGGTGGAGGAGGAGGATGAGGAGCAGAAACATCAAGACCTGTACGTCCTCGACCTTTTTTTCGCAGTCCTCAAAGTCCTTGATCTTGGCAGTGTTCGGGATCCTCGGATCCTTCGACACTCCCCGAGGACCCTCGAGACCCCTCGGCAGTTCCTCGAGACCCCTCGCAAAGCCCACGCGGCCCCTTGCGACCCCTCGGCAGCTCCTCGAGACCCCTCGCAACTCCCTCGCCAGACCACTCGCGACCCCTCGACCGATCCTCTGGATGGCGCGCGCCCGCGAGGCGCTCCCCGCCGCAAGGGCCCCTCGGCCGCCTGGGGCGGGTGCCGGTGTTCACGGCGCTCGCGGCGCCGCCCGCCCGCCCGCCGCCCGCCGTCCGCCGCCCGCCGCCGCCGAAGGCCGCCGCCGAAGGCCGCCAGAGGGCCCCCGGAGGGCCTTCGGAGGGTTTTCGAAGGGCTTTCGGAGGCTTTCGGAGGCTCTCCGAGGCCTTCGGAGGCCCTCGGAGGCCCTCGGAGGTCCTCGGAGGCCCTCGGAGGCTCCAGGGGCCATCGGCGGCGTCGGAGGGCTCTGGAGGGTGTTCGAGGGCCTCCCTAAAGATCCAACCTCTTGAAACAATCAAGGCGCAATTTTGTCGCCGTCGTTTCCGCCGTCGACGCCGTCGTCGGCATCAACGTCATTGATCTCGAGATTCGATGATCGATCCTCGAGGTTCTCGTCGCCACGGCTGGACGCGGCTCGAAAAACTCCTGGCCAGGAGAGACCCCGGGAGGGGCCCGCGGATTGATGTTGAGCGGATTCTGGTCCGCCCTAGACATGCGATGTCTTGTTTTTTGAATCGGCGGTCCCTGGAGGTCCCGACCCTTTCCCCAAGACAAGTTGTTCATCCTGACATGTTTTTGGCACGGTCCCGGGGCCAGGTAAAGGGCCCCCAGAGGCCGATAATTGCTAGAAGCCAACCGTTTTTTTTTCTCGGCTCAAGCAGGACCAGTACAGTGGCACGAAGATGGCTGCCGCAGAGGTGGCGCCGACGAGCCCGGGCTTGATCCTGGGCCGCGCAAGCAGGGCGAGAGGAGCCCTGAAGCGCCTGCCCGCCGTCGGGGTTCACACTTGGCCACTGGCGAGGTCGTGGCCAGGGCACCCGGCAGGAGGGCGCTCGGGACGGTTCGGGCGTGCCCATGGAACCGCGAGGACGCGCGAGCGAGGCTGCGGTTCCCCGCTCGACACCCACACCGGTGCCCGAGGCCGCCTGCGCGCCGCTCGCTCGCAAACTCGGCGGTCGGGCCCTTCCCTCCTCCTCCTCCTCCTCCTCCTCCTCCGCGGCTGCCCTCTTCTTTTTGAATTGAGATCGTGCTCGCAGCCGGCATGCCCTGCCGCTAGCGACCCCCGCGCCCGCGTCCACTGGCAGCGCCAATTTGAAGAGTGAGCAAGGCTGCGGTGCTGAGTTGGCCCAGCACTGGTTCTGGTCAGCAAAGGAGGGGGAGAACGGGGCCCCTTCGTCGCTACGGCTGGACGCAGCTCGAAAAACTTGGCAGTTTCGACCCCAGGAGTGGTCTGGGGACCGATTTGAGCGAATTTGCCTTTGATCTCCCTCTCGACACATTTTCTCTGGGCTTATCCAGCTCAGACCTGGCAGCCGCCTCCATTAGGGGTGCGCGAGCTCGCTTCGCCTTCCCAGTCCCGCCGCCACGCGTCGTCGTCGTCGTCGTCGTTGCCGCGGTCGTTTTCTGCTTGACGTGTCGCTGTGTCGCAGCCGTGCCGATCACAGCGGGCTATAGAGTGTCGTTTCACGGTTCGCCGATACATTTCTGACGTGCACGACATTTTTCTTGTTTCTTCTTCCTTCCTGCTACCTACGTGCGCTCTCCCTGCCTTCATGTCGGATCGTTCAGCAACAGAGATTCCTTAGCGGGAATGCCTGTTGGTTGTTTCGCGCAGAAAGGCGTTCTCGCGCCCTCATGCCAGAGACAGGACACACGCGCACAACGCAGATAGCTGCATGATCCCCAGCGTTTTGTGATGCAAAGGAAGTCGCCCCACGTACTCCTCCGATCCGCGCAGCGCGGATACGCTGGGATTGCCGCCTGCACAGGTTGCGTCATAAGCAGAACTCAGGAGCGGTGTCCGAGAGTCCCTCCTTGAAAGGAGGTGAGGGGGGAGGAAAAGGAGGCTGAGGAGGAAGAACACGAGGAGGCTGAGGAGGAAGAGGAAGAACACGAGGAGGGAGGAAGGGAGGAGGGAGGAAGAGGAGGGGGGAAGAGGAAGAACACGAGGAAGAACACGGTGAGGAGGGAGGAAGAACACGGTGAGGAGGGAGGAAGAGGAAGAGCACGAGGAGGCTGAGGAGGAGCGTGGAGGAGTCGGGGCGCAGGCCACGGGCGCAGCCGATCCTCTCCGTTCCCCGTCTTCTTTCCCAGCCATCCTGTGGTGTTGGGTCTCGTTTTAAAGAGACAGCGCCCCCGAGTCTGCTCTCCTCTCCTCTCTCCTCTCTCCTCTCTCCTCTCCTCTCTCCTCTCTCCTCTCTCCTCTCTCCTCTCTCCTCTCTCCTCTCTCCTCTCTCCTCTCTCCTCTCTCCTCTCTCCTCTCCTCTCTCCTCTCCTCTCCTCTCCGCTCCCCTCCCCTCCTTCTTTCTCCTTCTCCTCCTCCTCCTCCTCCTCCTCCTCCTCCTTTTCCCTCTGCCCTCCGCATGTTTGCCATGTCGCCGCGCTCAGTATTGCGTTTCGTGGCCCTTTTGGGAGGTCCACCGAAGGCCCAAGTGGCTGTGTGCAAATGCGTCCGCGCCACCGAGTACAGCGTTTCCTGGCCCCATAGGGAGCTCCATCGACAGGCCCCTGTGGCTATTATCACATGCGTCCGCCCCAGTATAGCGTTTCGTGGCCTCAGGAGGAGGAGGAGGAGGAGGAGGAGGAGGAGGAGGAGGAGGAGGAGGAGGAGGCGGGGAGGAGGAGGAGGAGGAGGAGGAGGAGGAGGAGGAGGAGGAGGGAGGAGGAGGAGGATGGGGAGGAGGAGGAGGGGGGGGAGGAGGAGGGAGGAGGAGGCGGAGGAGGGGGGGAGGAGGAGAGGAGGAGGAGGAGGAGGAGAGGAGGAGGAGGAGGAGGAGGAGAGGGAGGAGGAGGAGGAGGAGGAGGAGGAGGAGGAGGAGGAGGAGGGAGGAGGAGGAGGGAGGGAGGAGGAGGAGGAGGAGGAGGAGGAGGAGAGGAGGGAGGGAGGAGAGAGGGGAGGAGGAGGAGGAGGAGGAGGAGGAGGAGGAGGAGGAGGCGGCGGCGGACGCTTGGTGAAAGGCCGCCGGGGGCGCCGGCGCCAGCGCCGATGCGTGCGACGACGACGCAGCTCGGCGCCGATCGCTCGCGCGCCCACCTCGGGTCAGGCCGGGCTGGCGGTGTTGGCCAGCCTGACTGCCGTGGTCCTGGCGCGGCAGGCTCCCGTGTGTGCGGCCGCTCTCGCTCTCTTCTCCAGCCCCGTCGCGGCATCACCTTCGTCAGGGGAGGGACGTGCCCTGAGATTTCGGGCGTTGCAATTTTCTGTACAGCGAGCGTGTTCGCCTGGTCTTGGGCTCTGGGCCGTCACGGGTCGATCCGGTTCGAGGAATGCCGCAGAAAGGTGGGGTTTGGGGCTCCACTCGTGATTGTTCAATATGTTGCAATTTTTGTGGTTATGCTAGATGCTAGGGTGGGCGCCGGCCGAAGTATCGGTCGATTCTATTACGTCGCGGATGCCGTTCCCTTAGGCTTTTGTGGGTGCGCTCCAGTTTCGGTCATATTTTGCTGGTCAGATTCGGGGCTCCAGATTTGGCTATGCGTGATAGTGACCTTTCGCCAGAGTGTGATCTCTTAGTGTGGGCCCACTGGGGTACACTGGCCGCTGAGCGCCGTGCGGCAGCAGCAGCGGCTTGCGGGCTTGGGTTTGCCTGCCCCCGCGCCCCAGTGAAGCCGCGCGCGAACGGCCGATCCATGCCTAGGGCCACGTTTGCATGTAGCCGACAGTCAGTATCGTTTAACCGATCCCTATCCCCATCCCCATCCCGATCTCCACCATCCTACCGCCCCAGTTGGGGATAGGCCCCTCGCAACCCGAAGGGGACAGCCTACATCCCGATCTAGGGGGCTCTAAAGCGGTCAGTGGGGCCCTGGCCAGGCCCTTGGGGATAGGGATCGGTGAGACGATGCTCACTGATGGGCCACTTTTGCGTGTTGCCGACGGAAGGGCCACGAGCCTTCGCGCTCCCCGCTCTCGGGCTCCCTGGGCGTCGCCGTCGTCCAGTACGTGTGCACTGTTGGCCCCCAGAGTGGGCCTGGGCTGGCCTGGCGGTGGGGTACGTGTTTTCCAGAGCAGGCGCTGTCCTCTGCAGCCGCTGTTCTGTTCGCAGAAGAAGAAGCGGCACAGGCATCAACTTTCGGCGGTCCGCGCGGTTTTTGTTTGAGTCTGCGTTGGGCCCCTGCTGGGGGCGCCTGCGGCGTCGCTCCTGGTGCGCTCCGCGCGCCAGGGAGGGGGGTCAGCGCCGATCCAAGAAATCAGCGCGGACCTCCGAGAACCTATGTGTATGCAGGTTTTCTTCGTCCGCGTTGGATTGTCTCCGCTTGCTCAAGACGGTGATGCGGGACGTCGCCTCGGGCCTTGCTCGCGAGTCCACGGGCTTCCAGGCGGCCGCGGACGACGAAGTCAAGCTGGGGGTGGTGATGCGTTTCTTACGGGCGGCCGAGCAACGATGCCCCTCAGCAATTTCTCGGTACTTGATCCGATGCCCTCGCATCTCAGAGTTCGTGTGCAACCAGTATGACTTCGACGCCAACCTCTCGTCCTCCTTGCAAAATCTGCGTGATCATGCCGTGGAGCTCGCGCGATTGCCTTGACCCGGATGCAGGCGTCCCGTGACGAGGACGACGACGAATGGATGGAGAAAAACAGGAAGCAGAAGAAGGGCTCCGGGCTCCTTTTCCGACTGTGTCCAGGAAGGGGCGGCGGCCTCGGCGCCATCGTCGACAAACACGGCCGGGTGGTCACCGACTCAAGCGGCATGGTTAACATTTTGCGGAGCCACTGGGCGGCGACTTTCGCAGCGACAGGCGTGGGCGAGAACAAGCTCGGCGGCTGGCTCGCGGACGACGCGGCGGATAGAACTGCTCGTGGCCCGCCTCGTTTTGATTGGGGTGGCTTTCGGATTCGCTGGAAGGACGTTTCGGCGGCCATCCGTCAGGCTAAAAATTGCTCTCTGGGGCCCGATGGGATCCCCTACGGGGCTTGGCGCGCCGTGGGCAGCCTCGCCGTGGATATTTTGCACAAGGCTCTACGAGATTTGGCTTCAATGAGAGCCTGCTGTTCTTCCTCCCCAAGTCCCCCAACGTTGCCGTTCCGGATGGGACCCCGGCCTACGAGGCGCAGAATGTCCGGCCCTTGAACGTCACGAATTGCGACAACCGGCTGGTCGCCAGCGCTGTCCGGATCGCCCTGGAGCACAAGATTGCGCCTACGATCGCGCAGGCCCAGCGGGGGTTCCACGGGGACGCTCCATGCTGGCTAACGTAGTGGGCGTGGACGAGGCGATGGCGCTGGCGGCCTTGAGCGGGGACACGGGCTTGGCTTTTTCCTTTGACCTGGCGGCCGCGTTCCCGTCGGTGGAGCACAGGTTCTTCATGGCTTTCTTCGAGTCGCTGGGCTGGCCCGCGTGGCTCCTCAGAGTCATCCGCAACCTTTGCCACCAGAAAATGTTGTTGGATATTCTCGGCTGGGGAACGCATGGAGGGTTTTGCTTTGACGAGGGGTATCCGGCAAGGTTGCCCTCTCTCCCCCTTGCTATTCGCCATGGCCACGGACCTCATCCTCCGACGTTTGTCCAGAGCCACGCCGGGCGCGACCATCAGGGCCTGGGCGGACGACATGGCGCTGGTACTGCTTAATTTCCGCGACGGGCTCGGGGCCCTCCAGGAGTTCTTTCTTGATCTACAAAAGGTGGCTGGCCTGCGGCTCAGCGTGCCTAAGACGGTCGCAGTGCCTCTGTGGCAGTTCGAGGAGGAGGAAGGGGTGCGGGCCATCCTGGTGAACGAGGCGCCCGAATGGGGTGGGGTCAGGATGTCTTCCTGCATGAAGTACTTGGGCTTCATGGTTGGTCCTGGCCGGAAGCACACCTCATGGTCCGTCCTTACGGCCAAATACATAGAGCGAGCACGATTGTGGGGATCCCGGGGCTTGGGACTTCTGCTCGCCCTACGGGCATACAGGGTGTTCATCTGCTCCACCTTCCAGTTCGTGGCGCAGTTGGAAGAGCTGCCCGTCGACTTCCAGCAGGAGACGGAGGAGACGTCGGCGCGCTTGCTTTTGCCCGGCCCTGGGGCCTGGATCTCTGCGGCCGCGGCCAAGGACTTGAAGGCGGTGCGCTTTCCGGACCAGCTGGTGGGCATGTCTGCTGTGGCTGTGGCTGCTAAAGCCCGGATCCTTCGATTGGAAGCGGGCTCCATGGGAGGTCTGCACGTAGAGGTCCGCGTCCGTCGATTGGACGATCCGCCACTGGCTCACCGCTCCCTGGCCCACGGCGCCTGGGCGTCGCAGTGGGTGCGCAACTCGTTCCTCCACGTCCTGTCCCGGGCTTCTGCTCACGCCAGCGCGCTGCTGCGGCGTACCGCCGGCGCGCGCTCGTGGATCAGTTCGCAGGCGGGATGGCCGGGCGAGATGGCGAAATTGTTGGCGGTCGACTGCAGGGGAGAGGCCATGCGGCACTTCCGCCGGAAGCTGGACAAATGGCGGTTGGACGTCCTCCCCGGCCGGCGGTTGGGCAGAGCGCTGAAGGTCTTGGACGTCCTTGGTCGCCGCTCAGGTCCTCGGGTGCAGGCCGCGGCCATCCGCACTGTGACGAATGGCTGGTGCGCCCGGCATCGCTTTCAACAGCGCGGCCATTGCCCCTTCCGCTGTGGGGCCCAGCTGGACTCCATCGAGCATTCGGCGTGCTGCAGCGTGGTGCGCGCGCTGCTTTCCACCCACCTGCATGGCGGCGGCTTTCGTGCGCCGCACACGCTCGACGATTTTCTTTGCCTTTCTTTGCATGCCTCCGAGGAGGTTGCCGCGTCGCGCGGAGTGGGGGTGTACGCCGTCTACCGCTTATTTAATGCCCTCAGAAGCGGGGGCCTGGCTCACAACGACTTGTGGGGGGCCTTCCGACAATGCGCCCAGTTTGCGCTTTAGGCAGCTCTGGCTCCTGCGGGGGACAAGGTCCTGCCGCGTTGTGTGCGTATCCTTGCAGGGGCGTGGGGATAGTTTGTGGGCACGCGGTGGCCTTTCGAATCGTTCGAATCTTTCGAGTTTAAATATAATTGAATTTTGGGTGTGCCGGCCTATCCTCGGTCTGAGGCCGGTCCCCGATGTTAGTCCCTTCTCTCCTCATCGTCGTCGTCGTCGTCGTCGTCGTCGTCGTCGTCGTCGTCCGCCTCCTCCTCCTCCGCCTCCTCCTCCTTCCCCTCCTCCCTGAATGTGGTGACGTTTACCCGGCCGGCCACTTCCGATATGTACAGCTATGGAGTTTCAGCGCGGTTCGCAGCGTCTCTTCGATGGGTGCGATGATAGCCCCCTTTAAGGGGAAGCGGATCTGCCCCTCATCACGTCCTGTTGTGCTGTTTTCGACTCAGGGTGGCGTGGCCCCCGGACTCCCCGGCACGATATGCGAGATCGACAGCAAGCGGGCGTGTCCGTTGTTTCAAAAAAGGAACACCCTCGCGGGAAGGTTCTCGAAGGTCCCTGGAGGCCGAAATACGCTCAAAGCCTCGATCCCTGTCGTCGTCGTTGTCGTCGTTGTCGTCGTCGTCGTCGTCGTCGTCGTCGTCGTCGTCGTCGTCTCCTCCTTCTCCTCCTCCTCCTCCTCCTCCTCCTCTTCTTCCTCCACACATTCCTCCACACTTTCCGCTCTTATGCTGCGGGCGCCCTCTCAGGACCGCTGCTTGCCAGCCGCCCTCGGCTTCCCCGGCGGCGGTCCTTCCTTTTCCTGTCCGACCTACCCCTTTGGCGGTGGCGGTCCTGCTCCTCGTTCTCCTTCGGCATGTGGTGGACGCACCCGAGTGGCGCCCAGCGCGGCTCATCAGAAAGCACTTCGAGCCGCCAGATTGCCTCACATAGGGTGTGGATGGTGATGGCGATGATGAGGAGGAGGAAGAGGAAGAGGAGGAGGAAGAGGAGGAGGAGGAGGCGCAGGCGGAGGAGGAGGAGGAGGAATAGGAGGAGGAAGAGGAGGAGGAGGAGGAGGCGGAGGTGGAGGAGGAGGAGGAGAGGGAGAAGGAGGAGGAGAAGACGGAGGAGGAGGCGGAGGTGGAGGATGAGGAGGAGGAGGAGGAGGGAGGAGGAGGAGGAGCAACAGGAGCAGGAGGAGGTGGAGGAGAAGGACGAGGAGCAGGACTAGTCATATTATTAATAAGCTTATGAATGAGACGAATAGTACTA